CTCTCTCTCTCTCTCTCTCTCTCTCTCTCTCTCTCTCTCTCTCTCTCTTCTGTAAATCATTTCAATCAAACTAAATCATCTGAACAATTTGCCGCGGATTAATTTCAACGAGGATTATTACTATCGGTCGATTATCGATTCGTACATAAATGTCTTTCGCAAAGATAAATTTTAAACGGCAAGAAATATTTTAACGAAACACTCTCAAGATCGATTAACGATGTAAAATCACCGAGCGAAACGTTTCACCAGTTTCACTTTGACCAGATCATTCGAGGTCCTTCCATTTTTAACAAAGCTACACTATCGTATCGTTTTCTTCGATAACTCAAAAACCCTGTATTTTTCTTTCTGCGCGACATTGATATCGTTGTTCGAATAATAAAAAAGAAAAAAAGTAACTCGAGGGAGGAAAATGAAAGCTTTCACCCGGATATATCTCCGCCCGTAAACCACGAGCTGGCCTATTGGCAGATCAAAGCGGCACTTAGGGTTAATCGCGGAACGCTTTTTCGTGGCAACGATGTTCGCCGATAACTTCGATGCCATTGAATCGAGCTTCGTGCGCACGGATCCGGCCATTAACCGGCCAACTCGCGGCAGAAAACATACTTTAGACATTAACATTGCGGCCGTTTCGTAGCCAGCGTTCCCTCCTAATGGCTTAAGGGACAACGAAAGGTCGAGGTGAAACTTTATCAATGGAAGTGCCTTTTGGAAGCTTCCTTTAAACGGAAAGAGGAGGATTTAATCTAGGATGAAATCTAGGTTTCGAGCTTTCGTTCTTTAAAATGTGTTTATCTGATTGCACCTATTTCATGCGTCTTTGTGATATAATGTGATCGAAAATGATTGCACAGACATTGTTATCCTTTCACGCGAATTCAGCGAAAATATTATAGCTGGCGAGACGAATTGTACAAACGCAATAATCTTTTAAAAAAAAAAAAAAAAAAGAAATTCTCGATATTTAATGTTCTCGTATAAAAGTGGAAAGTGAGCATCGTTCCGCTGTTTCAACTATCATTTGTATAATATTTTCGCGAATTTATCGTGCAAGGTATTAGCATTGGATAAAATCGGATCGTAGATTTCGATCGATTCGAGAGGTTGGACAGGGTGCGTGTTCGTCGAGGATGTTATTCGAGGGGCGTTCCATTCTCTCTGGACATCCGTGTGTATCCACAACGTTGCATGAGTTATCGTCGAGGAGAGAAACTCTAACTAAGTGTATCTTATTTATTTCACGTTCGATGAATCACGGTACACACTTCTTTATATATTTAGATTTAAAAATTGGAACGATCAGAAGATTAGTCTAATTCTTCGTTTATCGATCGATATCGCGGTGTAACAATCAATTTACTCGATCGATTTCTTTCGAAAAATCGGCCGAGATCGCGACGAGACGTCATTCACGTCTCGCCCACAACTCGTAAATCTAATAACGCGGCGTCGGTTAGAATTTTGTATGGGCGTGTCACGGCCGTAAACCTTTAAAATACGATGTTCCCCCGGTGGACACGTTAATTGCTACGTGGAATCGGGCGGATGAAAGCCGGCCCGGTTTGATAAATTGCGTTGTTAAGCCATTCGTGTACAGGCGTTATCCACGCGATACCGCGTGTGTCTATGATCAAGCGTGTGTTGCTCACCTGGTCTCTGATCTTTCGGCTCTGATAAATCGGCCGCCGAACGACTCTCTCTCTCTCTCTCTCACGCTCCACAAGAGAAGAGAGGCCCATCCGCGACCTCGAGAAGTCGCCTCCACCCCTGCGCTCCTCCCTCCGCTCCCCTCGCCTTCTTAACAGCGGTGGTGTTCGCCGCGCACGCTGCGATCGCCTACTCTCCTATCCCCTCCACTCCACTCTACTCCATCCATCCCCTCCACGGCCGCCTTACACTCTTCCGCGACGGGGGGAGGAGGAATCGTGCGCTCGGCCCGATCGAGGATTCCTTGGGGATACTCCGTGGCCGAGAGAGAGAGAGAGAAAGAGAGAGAGAGAGCATGGCGGGGAGATAGGCATGCGTTGAATGCATAACATTTTTATCTGATCGGAAGGAAACACACGCCGGCGAAATGCGAACGACCGGGCGAACGACAGCCGAACAACGAAACCTGGAAGTGAAAATTCGGAAGGGGCGAGGAGGATCGAAGAGAGGTGTTGATTAACGCACTTCTGAAAGTGAGATTCGGTCGGAGGAAAGTTTTATTTGGGGATTATTATATCCTATAACAGCTTGATATTGATTGATTTGGATAATTGGGAAAAATTTTGGAAGATGCGATTATTCGATTGATTGGCAAGAGAGAGATAAACGGAGATAAATCTTGTACTTTTTAAATCTTTGGGAGTAATATTCTTGCGTTTAACGTATAATATATGGGATAATAATAAAGGATGGACATCTATGTGTTCAATAAACTAATAATAATTGGGTTTCTACTCGGGACAAACTGAATTCCATTTCAAACCGACTGAAATCAATTATAATTAATCCGCAACAATAAAATTATTTTCCATCTCAAATTTATCTCCCTTATCCGCGATCCTTTATTACTATCGTCTCGAGGAGATCGAATCTCTAATTACTTTTTCATTATCCGGTAATTGATACGAGAAATATAACAGGTTGTAATTAAAACTCGTATCTTATACGAGCAATTTTCACTTTTACGCAGCGATTCCTATTTTACCGATCGGTTAAGCGTACCGAAAGAAAAAAAAAAAAAAAGAAAACCTGGCTGGCCATTCAACCGTGTTCTCGTATAAAACGTCACAGACGCAATCGAGTTTTATCGATTCGGTTTTCTCCTCGACGATTGTTAAACGGCAGCCGCCGTTTATTAAACTCTTTCCGCAACGCGGTAAAATTCAAAGCGTCACGCTCGAACGAGAAAAGTCGCAACAGTGAATTTTCACTTTCGCTCGGCGGCAGCACAGCACTTTCGTTATGCCCCGGAAAAGGGAAATGATTGAAATTTTTCTTTTTTTTCAAAACTATAGATATAGATATAAGTGTTCCAAGCATTTTGCATTTACCGAATTTTACGATGCTTACGAAAAAAAAAAAAAAAAAGAAGAATTATTGTTTTTATGGAATGGAAATTTTATCTTTATCATGATTATATGCAGAATTATATTAAATTCGCGAGAATTGTGCGTCATTATCTTTGGATCTCAGGTTATTCGAACTGAAACGTTACCTCGCGATAATTTCTTTTCTGGGGTGGGGATGCTCGAGTCTGTCTACATCTGTTTGCGCTGGTCGGATCGAGGATGAAACGGTCGAGCAGCAATGCTGTCAGGTACGATCATACGGGCGAGTAGAGAGTTAATAAAGATGTTATTGAAGATTCGTGAATGATACCGTCGCTTCGAATTCCGTTGCAACTTGGCGATGGTAATCTAATCCGATGGGGGATCGAAAGGAATGGATCGATTTTATTTCGATGATAACGATGATAATAATAATAATAATAATAATAATAATAATAATCTTTTTTCAGAACTCACGCTTCAATGGAATATTTTTCGAAATCGTATCCCGTAACAAACATTCCCAACCTGCGGTTCCAATTGTTAACCGTTAAGTAGATCAGTTTCCTAACGCTTTTCCCAGCGTTTGATTCTCGCGTTACAACAACATTGTTGTTCACCGATCGTTA